CTCGCCGCCAGCTTTGCACGGGGTCCCTGATTTCAGGGATTTGGGGATTATGGGGACAGCAGGAGCAGCCCTGCAGACTCTCCGCTCTCTTCCCAGAATGAATTTTAGCCTCCCTGAGCCAAATGCTGAGAAAGCGCTGAATAACTGCAACAAATTAGATTACTTTTTGGTACTTGTCATTTCTCAAAACATATGGCCTTCTGCTTGAGCATCAGGAATGATGCTTTGGAGGCCAGTGACTTCCTACTTTCTGCTTTCAGCCTGGCTGGCTCCAGCCAAGGATGGGGCTCCGTACGGTCCTCAAAGCAATGGAAATTCCTGCAGGAGTTTTAAAAGCCATTTGGAAAAAACCCAGCTTTACTCCAAGGGGAGCCAGCCAAAAAACACGCAAAACCCAGGCTTAAAAACACAAGTGGCCAACAACCACATCGCCCATTTTCTTCCCTCCGTGTCTCCATCCCATCCCAACTTTCCTCGTCTTTCTTGCGAGCCCGTTTCCTTTCTCACGCTCCATCTGCTGTTTCCAAAAGAGGAACATTCTTGCCGATCCATCTTTCAGGATGACTTCAGTTATTTTCTCCCAGCCTCAGGTGATGCCCTCTCCTTACCCCCGCTCCATGCGTGTGCACGCGCGTGGCCACATCCCCACCCTTCTTGGCATCACCTTTATCTTGGCCAAATCCTGCTGGAGTGATTACACCAGGAGTCAAGAAATCTTCCCCGGGGTAAAACCGCAGCGAGGAAGAGCACAACCTGCTTATTCCCTTGGGCTCTGATTTTGCTGCGTAATTCCCATTCCCAGAGCGGGATCAGGCCGTCTTTTCAGCAGGATCATGGTGGTGGTGGCTGAGATTTCTTGGCTTGGCTGTCCAATGCTCTCCTACTGTGCATCTGCTCTTGTCCATGACTTCCACCCGGCCCCAGCCCTGACCGCACAGCTCGGCTGCCCGCAGCTGCCTGCACGATGCTGCCCTGACCACGTAATGGATGCTGCATTTTCCCCGATACAATCACTCCATTAATCTCATGCAATTAATGCTTCGGGAAGCATTTTGCCAACGTTGATAGTAAGGAAAGAGTTACAACGCAGAAATGGCTGCTGCTTCGGCTGTATTACCATAGTAAGTCCCAAATCACTTAGCTCAGGAGGATTTTCTGTCCATGTCCAAGACTTTCCTGGCTGCTCTTTGTCCTTTTTGCCCAAAAGAGCCACGCAGAAGTGGGATGGACAGTTGTGGCATCTTGGAGGCATCCATAAGAGTGACCTGCATGGCTGGGGGGAAGAGGCTGGCCCCTTTCCCTCCCCAGCAATTCTCCCCCATCACGGTGGCTTTGCCTCTTTTCCGCAGGGCCGCGGCTCGGGCAATGCAATCAGCTTGTGGCTAGGATCGCGGCAGCGCCGGCTGGCTCCCCGCTTCCCGTCCCAACGGAGGCTGGTCCCCCTCTTGCACGCAGTTAAAGAGGGCATCTGCTCTTCTGCCCCGATCCTGGGAGGTGCTCAGCTCTCTACGTTTGCACTGAAGGCCTTGAGGACCCCCGTTCAACACCTCAGCCGATCAGACTGGGGACCTTTTGCATCAGACGTGTTTGTCCTGTTACACCCAGCCCCATCCTACGTCCCCACGGCTTGGGCTTCCCGTGGCATGCGCCCTTTTCAGCTCCCTAGCTCTGAAGCAGCTAGAGCCGGTCCATCCTGGCGCCTAAAGTGGAAAATCGTAAAATCCTGTTTCCTCCGCAGGGAGAAAGAGTCTTCCGGCTCCTTGTGAGATTAAGCTTTGTGCATATATCTGCAAATGTTAGGGGACAGAGGTTAAGCTGAGCAGTGACAGCGCTTAGCAATGCAGATCAGATGGCTCTGAGACCTTCCAGTATTCATGGCCAAATCCTGGGATATTTAGGGCTTTGAAACATAATGAAGTCAGATGAAGGAAGGAGTGCTGTTTGGGTGAGGAAGGACAGACTCAGCTCCCTGGAAGGAAGCTCTTTGATCTGCTGGTGGCCGTGAAAGTGGCCATTTGTCTTGGTGGCCACTGGGGAGGTGACTGTGCCCTCCAGGAGCGATCCATGCTGTTGCCTCCAGCGGGGAAGCGACCAGGAGAGCAAACGGCACCCCTGAAAGCAGGCTTGGGGCTTGGGTTTTGCTCTCCGCTGGGAGTTGCTCCGTGATGCTGGGAGGGGAGAAGCAGGACGGGCTGGCTGGCTGGGATGGCTCCTCGAGCCCTTGCATCCTCCGCGTAGAAAAATCCGCCTTGCCAAGGAGATGCGGCGATTGCTCCTGGCAGCCTTGCAATTCTAGGAGTAGGTTCTGAGGCCATGCAAAGACGACGGCTTCCCGGGCACCTCTGCCTCGCTGGCGATGCGCACCGGCGCTCGCTGCAGCTGCAACCTGCTGCGACCGATTTGCCGCCTCTGCTCCAGCTGAGCAGTGCGGAGCGCGTCGCACGTCGTTCTGCGCTTTGCCGCTGCCTCTGGTTCTCAGCAAAGGGCCCTGCGTGCCTTACGGTGCTTCAGTTTAATCCGGTTTGTCTTTCAGCTGCAGATTTGCTAGGAGATGGGGAGGTCAAGGGATTCAGCCAAGGGAAAGGGAGCCCAGGACTGGGGCAGGGCAGGCTTTGACGGATCTCGTGCAGGACCTTTTCTCCCTATCCCCTTGCCCACACTGGCATCCCTCCCTGAAACCCATAGAATCCATCTCTAGGGGAGAGGCTGAGCACGGGACATCCCGAGCCATCTTGGGGGCTCCCTTTGCTGGAGTGCTCGGGGAATTCTCTCACCCAGGGGCTGCCCATCACCCCCAGCAGGTTGTGCTGGCGAGATGCTCTGGGAAGGAGCCGGAAAGGGGAGCGAGGTGGTGCCAGGTCTGCAGGGGATGGATGGATGGCTTGGAGGGCTCTTCCCTGCCACAGGCACCGTGCCAGGGTGCCACTGGGCATGGGGAGAGCCGTGGGTGCATGGCTGTTGCCTGTTCTTGGGGCTGCTGTGGGGCAAGCCAGACTCACTGCTCCCACCCAACCACAGGACATGTCTGATGTCCCCTCTGAGCTGTTTGCCAGCCGTCTTGCCAGCTGTCCCCCATCCTGCTCCTCACCGGCACTGCCACCACCTCCTCGCCCTGCCCTGCCGGTACCTGCCGTAATCCCAGTGCTCTGCCTCCCTCCCTGGTCCTAATCCTATAAATCCTCAGCAAATCCTGCCCGCCTGGCCCTGCCTCTCCATGTCCCGCCTCCACGGCAGTCTTCGTGGGGTCCCCCAGCTTGGAGCTGGCGTTTTTTTGGGGTGCACAGGGCTGCCACCCAGATAAGGTAGCACCTCGGGGGGTTGCTTGCACAGGAACATCAGGAAGGGTGCCCGAGGCCCAGGAGAGTTGTGCTGGTGGCTATTAGGTAGGGCACCCCAGAGCGCACCCCAGAGTGCACCCCAAAATGTAGCTGGTGCTGGTTTCACGCTCTCAGGAAGCAGTTCCCGTGCTCAGTGCGAGCTGCTCCAGCACGTACCCATCTCCAGAGCTACCGCTGAGCCCGGGGGACTGGGAGTAGGATCAGGATGAGGAATGAAACGGAGCAAAAAGCTGCGTAGCTGCAGGGCTGGGGTCACTCCTTGCAGCGAGAGTGGGGTTTATCTGGGCTGGGGATGAGGACAGCCAACACAGCCCATTTTAACAATCTGCTGGGCTGTTGGAAAGTGTCAAGAGGGAAAGTGCTGCAGCAAGGTGGATAGGTCTCAGGGAACAGTATTTTTGCAGCCAAAAGAGCTGGCTCAGGTGGACCCGACGAGTTGCTCATGTCTACGAATCGTGACCTGATTGCTAAGGGCAAAGAGCATCTTGTGCAGAGAAGGGGTGGAAAGCCCCTATCAGACTGAGCCTGCTAACCATCCAGGCCATTTTCATCGGGGCCGTTTTGGTTTGATTCCCACAGGGTTCACTATTCCAGCAAGTCTTTGAAAGACTCCCTTGGCATGCGGGAGTAGGACTGGAGGGAAAGGAGAGCCCGATGCTGCAAGGTGCTGCCTGTGCCCATCCCGGCACGGGACCCCGCTCTGTGCATCGCCGTCCGGGGATGGGAGGCAGCACTGGGACCAGCCGCAGCATCCCAGTAGCACCAGTACCAGGCGAGGAGCCGTCCTCGGTCTCATCAGTCCACCCCGCGAGAGCTTAGGCGGGCGGTGAATCACTGCATCTCCAGCTAGTGCAGAAAAGATTAAGCTGACCTAAGAATAAAAACAAGCCCCTCAGTTCAACCAGCGGGGATAAAATGAGAAAGCGTGCTAATCGCCGAGCTGCAGGAGGGGAAGGGATTATAAACCCCGGGCAGATTACCACCGTGCCGTTCGGTGCACAGGGCAGGCGTTATGCTCTGGTTGTGCTTCCCGGGCTGGTTGGGTTTCTCGTCCCCCCCATCCCCGGGGCTGCGGTGAGAACCCGTGCGCGTTTCATCCCGCTAACGGCCGGTTAAGCACCTCCAGTAAGGGCCCACGCAAATGTAGGAGTTCAAACAGGGGCACATTTCCGAGGAGAATAACCAAATGGATCTCTCCCCACGAGGCCTTTGTTTCTATACAGCCGCTCCCTTCCGCTAGGCGCCGGATGAAAGGCACTATGTATATAAATAAATGCATTGTAATATACCATCCACTTTGATCACTCCAGCAGCGTGGACAGCATCGGAGTCTGCTCTCGGATAACGATTCCCCTACCCCGTCTCCCCCCTTCCTTCCCTTTCAAATTAGGGGTTGATCTAAGGGGCAGTTCCTCAAAGCATTGCTCCACGCTCGGTGGTGCCTTGACTGGTTTCTAATATTTCCATGCTGCGGCTGGGGTGCAGGCCTGCAACCCAAGCAAGACGTTATCTTTTTCCTCCCACAATCCTTGTCACGGAGATGGGCCTGGGATCCAGAGCTGCTCCCGCTAACGAAGGGCTCGCAGAGGTGTTTGATGCTGTTAGCGGTCCACAGGATGCCATGCCATGAAACCCCTCTTTGCTTTTGTCTCCTCTTCCCAGGGACATACCAGGGCCAGTGGGTCGGAGGGATGCGCCAGGGTTACGGGGTCCGGCAGAGCGTTCCCTACGGCATGGCTGCGGTTATCAGGTCACCCCTGAGGACATCCATCAACTCCCTGCGCAGCGAGCACACCAACGGCACGGCGCTGCACCCCGACTCCTCGCCGGCGGTGGCTGGCAGCCCTGCCGTCTCCCGGGGTGGCTTCGTCCTCATGGCCCACAGCGATGCCGAGATCCTCAAGAGCAAGAAGAAGGGCATCTTCCGGCGGTCGCTGCTGAGCGGGCTCAAGCTTCGTAAGTCCGAGTCCAAGAGCTCCTTGGCCAGCCAGCGGAGCAAGCAGAGCTCTTTCCGGAGCGAAGCCGGGATGAGCACAGTCAGCTCCACCGCCAGCGACATCAACTCCACCATCAGCCTGGGCGAGGGCGAAGCCGAGCTCTCCGTCATCGAAGACGACATTGATGCCACCACCACCGAGATCTATGTTGGCGAGTGGAAGAATGACAAGCGGTCGGGCTTCGGGGTGAGCCAACGCTCGGACGGGCTGAAGTACGAGGGAGAATGGGCCAACAACAAGCGCCACGGCTATGGCTGCATGACCTTCCCCGACGGCACCAAGGAGGAGGGCAAGTACAAGCAGAACATCCTGGTCAGTGGCAAGAGGAAGAACCTCATCCCGCTGCGGGCCAGCAAGATCCGTGAGAAGGTGGATCGGGCCGTCGAGGCGGCCGAGCGGGCGGCCACCATCGCCAAGCAGAAAGCGGAGATCGCGGCATCCAGGTAAGGTGGTTCCTGTCCCGATGCGGTGTTGATGGGAGAAGTGGGATGAGACTTTTTGTGGTAGTAGGTGCTCGGGGGTGTATTTTAGGGAAGCTGCTGGAGGCGGGCAGGCGTCGCGGTGGGTGCCTGCCAGCGCAGGCAGCGGTCGGTGCAATCTGGACCCCAAAGGGGGAGTGGGCAGCATCCTGCAAAGCCAAGCCGCTGGGCTTGCCTGAGCCTCACGGGTGGTGGTCAAAACGGGGTGGGTCCAAGCTGAATTGTCCCTCTGCTAACTCTGAGCGGGCTGTGGATGCGCGACCTTCCCAAACCAGCCGGCGAGGCCATGCGGGCTCACCCAGAGCGGTGTGTTCGCTGCAGCCTGTTGCCGGGGGTGGTTGCGGCGTGGTGGGACCGCATTTGTGGGTCACGGTGTGGGGCTCGCAGGCTGGTAGCTGTCACCTAGGAGGTACTGGGCTGCTTACTCCGTTTCTCCCTAGCATCTTTAGTAAGGATGACACCCTTAGTAGAAGTACTCCTGAGATGCTGTTTGCCTGTATCCTCTGTCTGACTTTTACAGCCAAGAGGAACCATCCCAGGGTTGGCCTGTGCTGGGAGGATTCCCAGCTATTTCTGTTCCCAAAAGAGGTTCTGAGTGGAAAAGCAGTCAATTCGCTGGCTGCAGCTGATGCTTGTGGAGGGTTTGCCCTGCCTGTGGCTCTGCTAGGACGCAGCAGATCTGGGTGCCCGAATAACCCCTACAAGCCTCAAGAAGCCCCCACTCCCCGGGCTGGCTGCAGCCATCACAGAACTGCTCAGTGATTCAGAGCAGGGACCTGAACTGGCTGAACACCAGCAGGAGGGGAGGGGGAGCGGGGTCATGTCTAATTTAGGCTGCAGTAGGGTCCAACTCCCAACTTAAAGCAGGGCCAACACAAGCGTCTTCTTGCTGACTCCCAAAATGCGCCTGGAGCTTCGTGACTTGCAGCGAGCTCCCAGACAAGAGGTGAGCTGAGGAGGAAAGGCTCCTCTGCCGAAATCAGGGCTCTTTGTATCACTTTTTGGGGATGGTTTATTAGAGCATGGTCATTCCTCTCTGGTTTCTGAGCAAGTGCTACATATACAGCCAGGCTGGGGAAAAAGGGCTGGGGTTAGGGGAAAATCCCAGGTACCTCCTCGTACCAGTCGCCTGTGCTGGATTAATTGCTGGGTCTGGATCATTTGTATGCAGAGTCACACCTGAAATCTTTATCAGCATGTCTGCCGATGACTTATCTGCAATGTGAATGAGACTCCCAGGCCTGCTTTGGGAGCATATTTGGGCTTGATGATGTTTTTGAGCTGCTGTTGTACCAAATTGTTGTCAAAGCTTTGGAGGGAAAAAAAAAAAAAAAATCCCACTAGATTGCCAGGTAGAAAACAGGGAAAGACCAGATCTATCCCTATCATCTTGGGATGTGAATGCCTTGGTACAAAGGCCTGAATCCTGGAGATGGGGATCTCTAGTCTGCTGTGGGATGCCAGGTCCGAGAACCTGAGCATCCTCTGTCCCCAGGTGGTAATGGTCCTAGAAATCCATGGGGGTGGCAGCTGGAAGAGATATGACCCCCCCCCGCCATGTTGGAAATAAATACTTTAATGAGGTCTTGGCATATAATGTTCCACTTTCTAATTATGAGAAAGAAGGAAAAAAATGAAATTAGATAGCAATGCCAGGGCATGGATACCTTCCTCCCCTGTACCGGCCGGAGTAACGTGGTCCTGAGCTCTGCTGGAGAGCAGCAGCAGTGCTGGGAGGCAGGATGCAGCCCGTGACCACGCGTGTCCGTGGAGGGAGAGAAAAGCTGTGGGATTTGGGGACCACCCAGAGGACCCCTTTAATCATCAGTGAAGATGTAAAGAAGTAAATGAAGGGGAGTGCACTGCTTCAAGGATCCTCCGTCAGAGACCGACCTCTGATTTCGCACAGAAAACGCTCCGTCGGCGACCTGACATCTCCATCCTGCAGCCCAGCTTCCTCCACCGTTTGCGCTTGGTCTTAACTCGTCTGTTCTCAACCAGAGACGCGGGGAAGAAAGCAAGCGCCGGGAACCCAGGGCGTTGCTCTTTCTATGGCACAGCCGTCGCCTCCGGTGCACGAGGCTCGCTGGTGTGTCGAAAAGCCCTTTATCGATCTGCTGCGCGAGCCGGGGACAGACAGACTCCGACGTGACGTGCGCTGTGCATTAGTGCTGGGTTACCAACCGCAAATGACATCCGTCCCAGGAATTTTTGCTGCCTGTGTTAATGGTTTATGTTGAAACCCCGAAACAGATCTCAGCGAAGAGCCAAACCGTTCGGCTGCGGCCGGGCAGGATCGCGGGATTTAGGCTTTGCTGGAGATGCGGGGCAGGTGGGATTAGGCGGGTGTACAGGCTCAGCCCCAAACCTTGGAGGTGACTTGGATTTGCAGTGCGGCTGCACGCGGGAAAGCACCTCAAAATGCAAGCAGGGAGAGCTGCTTTGCCTGCAACCCGCGATCCTTCGGCTCCAGCTCTTCCCCGTTGTGCGGGTTTTTGCATAGACGGTCTCTCCTCGGCTGTGTCCCAGTAGGCAGAACCAGGACAGAGCAAGGTTTTACAGACCCAGAACCAGCTAGAAAGGCTTTCGTGCAATTAGTCCAATTAATTTTAAAGCTTCTAAATGAATAAACGCTCCCCTGCACTGCTCGCACCCAATCGCATCGTCCAAAAGGAAAGGAACGCGCAAAATAGGCAGTGGGTGCGTTGGTAGAAGCGTCCTGGTGCTCGTTTTGGGGGCTTTGGGGCTCAGGGGTGCAATATCCCCCGTCTAATACCAACGTGAGCTCTGGCTCTGGGGATTTTATAACAGCACTGGTGTGTGTCTGTGTACGTGTGTCTGTGTATTCTCTTCTGTCTAATAATATGGCTGAGTTGACTCTGCAGCCTTTCCCTTGGTGGGGGAAAATATGTGCCCACCCACGTATTTCATTAAATTTGTAGGAATTCAGTATTTTTGAAAACTCTGCCGCTCTGTCAGATTTGGTTGGAATTGGCCAACACGTTCAAAAGTTATTAGTGTGGGAGTGATGGCATATAGATATATAAACAGCACAATCACATAAGAAAGCCCCATTTCCTAAGGAAAGTAGGCTAAAAACATAGTGTACTGGAGACAAGTAAATTGGATTCTTGAAGTTGCTTTAGTCTGAACAAAGTACAATGTTATCTGTGACACAGAAAAGTAAGCTCATAGTTTTTAGCTTCGGTAGATGATTCTCCTAAATTTTCTTCGATGCGATTAAGATGAAATAACACTTTCTTTCCTCTTATATCTCCCATTTGCTGAAATAGTTTGTGTAAAGTCAGTGGGCGGGAAGGGCTATGAATCAGGTCTGAAAAACCACCGTCGATACCAACTGTTGGTTTTCTGAGGTAGCCAGGGAGGGAGGCCTTTTTCAGCCGGTTTACAATGAAGGTGCGGGCTATCCTCTGTGCTATGGGGTGCTCCGTTCCCCTCTCGTGAGCCAAGAGCCATCTCTCTTTTTGCTGCTACCCTGCGAGGATGAAGGATGCCCTGGGGTCACCGGCTCCCATCTCATTAGTGGTATCGTTGACCCCAAGGCAAACTGTCCATAGGCACTGCTGGGTCATGGTCAACTAGAATATAATACCCGGGCAAGAAAGGTGGGCCAGAAGGCTCATCGTCACCCCTTGGCTTTCAGCACAGCTGCTGGGCATGGAGGATAGATGCACGTGGAGCATCGGGGGGTGCTCAGGACCGACTGCAGCTCCCCGTGACGGATGATGGTAGCTTTAATGCAAGGCAGACAGACCCTGATTCTCTCCAGGGTTTCCTTCTGCTACCACAGTTCAAGGTTTTGTAATTAGTGGCCGGAGCTCCTTATGAGGGGAAGGGACGTCACCAGTGCTAGGGATCTGAGTTCCAGAGGCGGGCAGCATCTGGCAAGCGCTCGGCCCCTCTCCAGCGCAAGCTTCATGGGTCCCCATTGCTCAGCACCTTAAATAACAGCTCCTCGGAGCAGCCGATGCCCGAGCACCCCGGAGGGGATGCTGTTCTCAGGTTAGTCCTAAGTAATGCACTCCCAGGTATAATTATAGCCGAGCCATTCACCAACAATGAGAAAAATATAATTAAACTCAATAGTCTCAGGAGGAGTCAGGCTACAAATTAGCACAGTGTCATTCAACTTCAGAAGGGGAAACTGGAGAAAAAAAGAAAAAGGAAGCGAATAAAGGCGACCTGGCAGCGGGGACGGGCAAAGGGAAATGTTTGGACTCAGCATGGATGCTCCTTCAGGATGCTGCAGTGAGGGCGAAGCATCCGTCCACGTCTGACATACAATGGGGAGCAGGAAGGCAAGAAAAGCCCTGGAGAGCTGAAATGCAAAGTGCAGAAGGTTGCTCGAGCCAAACAGGTATTTTCTTCAGAAAAATGGAAATGCAGCCCAGGCAAAACCCACAGAAAGGAAGAGATTCTGCAGTTCTGATCCCAAACATTTTAAGTTGCGGTAATGTCACTACCGGCAGTACGCCGAGCCATAATAATGCTGCTTAATGCTCTCTCAGGCCTGTGCCTGCAGCTTTGCAATTGTGCTTAGCTGCATTTGATTTAAGGTTTCTGCTGGCTCTTCTGATGCCTGGGGGAGGTGGCTGCGGGGCTCCCGCATTAGTCTCGCCCTAATCCCCGCCTCGTGCTGCCGGAGGGGCTTTCGCTGCGGATGGAGAAGGGGGAGGAGGAGGGACGTGGGGTAAGGGGAACGCTGTGGCCCCAAAAGGGTTACGTGTCCCCTTCCTGGGGTTGGGACGGCGGGGACGAGCCGGCAGCAGACGGAGGTGGTTGTCTGTCCCCTGTGTGGGGGGGGGGGGGGGGGGGGGGAGCCGGCAGCAGACGGAAGCTGAAATGGGTCACGGCTGAACTGGCTGCAGGGATGGGGCTGAGCGAACGATTCGGGGATCAGACCAAGCGTGTCGGGGCCTCCCACCGCCTTGTCCAGCCCCTCT